CTATCTATCTATCTATCTATCTATCTATCTATCTATCTATCTATCTATCTATCTGTCTATCTGTATCTATATATATGTACATGTAATTTTTTCTCCTCCAACTACCCTAATACTGACAAAGGACTCATGAGTTACAAATATCATTTTTCCATGCTGGAATGTAAACAGTTCAACCATAATAAGTCTCTTATGATTTTCTCTTTCCTGTTTACCTCTTCATATTCTACTTGAGTCTTGTATTTGAAAATCAAATTTTCTATTCAGCTCTGGTCTTTTCATCAAGAATGCTCGAAAGTCCTCTATTTCACTGAATGACCATTTTTTCCCTTGCAGGATTATACTCAGTTTTGCTGGGTAGGTGATTCTTGGTTGTAATCCTATCTCCTTTACCCTCCAGAATATTATATTACATGCCCTGCGGTCCCTTAATGTAGAAGCTGCTAAATCTTGTGTTATCCTGATTGTGTTTCCACAATACTTGAATTGTTTCTTTCTGGCTGCTTGTAATATTTTCTCCTTGACCTGGGAACTCTGGAATTTGGCTATAATATTCCTAAGAGTTTTCCTTTGGGAATCTCTTTCAGGAGGAGATTGGTGGATTCTTTCAATTTCTATTTTGCCCTCTGCTTCTAAAATATCAAGTCAGTTTTCCTTGATAATTTCTTGAAAGATGATGTCTAGGCTCTTTTTTTGATCATGGCTTTCAGATAGTCCAATAGTTTTTACATTCTCTCTCCTGGATCTATCTTCCAGGTCAGTTGTTTTTCCAATGAGATATTTCACATTGTTTTCTCATTTTTCATTCTTTTGGATTTGTTTTACAGTGTCTTGATTTTTCATAAAGTCACTAGCTTCCAATTGTTCTATTCTAAGTTTTAAGGAAGTATTTTCTTCAGTAATCTTTTGGACTTCCTTTTCCATATGGCCAATTTTGCTTTTTAGGGCATTCTTCTCCTCATTGGCTTTTTGGACCTCTTTTGCCATTTGGGTTAGGCTATTTTTTAAGTTGTTATTTTCTTCAGTATTTTTTGGGGTCTCCTTTAGCAAGCTGTTGACTTTTTTTCATGATTTTCTTGCATCCTTCTCAGTTTTTCCTCTACTTCTCTTACTTGCTTCTCAAAATCCCTTTTGAGCTCTTCCAAGGCCTGGGACTGATTCATATTTTTCTTGGAGGCTTTGGATTTAGGAGCTTTGGCTTCATTGTCTTCTTCTGGTTGTATGTTTTGATCTTCTTTGTCACCAAAGTAAGATAATATAGTCTGACTCTTTTTGTGCTGCTTACTCATGATCCCGGCCAATTACTTAGGTTTTAAGGTCCTTGTTAAGGTAAAAGTCTGCTTCCAATGTGGAGAATGTACTGTCCCAAGCTTCAGGGGTTTGTACAGCTGTTTTCAGAGATACTTCTAGGGATCTGAAAATTTTCAGTTCTTCCAAGGTGCTATGATAAGGGGCAAGGTGTTTTCTCTCCACCGCTACAACAAGCTCCACTACACCAGTGTTCCTCCTCACTCCAGGACCGCCCCTCAGAACTGTGACCCAGATCCAAGCACCGGTAAAGCAAGAGATTCCTGCCTCAGCACTGGCAAAGAGAACCCTGCAATCCCTCTCTGATCAGCCACTTGATTCCCCCTCAGACTGTGGGCCAGAAGCTCAGGAAACAGCCGTGGCCCCGGGGGTGGCTGAGACCTAGCTCCTTCTCTCACCACGGTCACAGACTTTTCCCACTGACCTTCCAAGTTGTCTTTGGCATTTGTGGGTTCAGAAGTCTGGAAACTGCCACAGCTGCCTGCGATTTAATCCTCTGAGGCCTGCTCCAGGGTTGCTGCAGCCTGCACGCCCACACCGAATTGTGCTCCTCTCCCCGCCCGGCACGATATACCTTTCTGATCAACCATCCAGGCTGTCTTTGGCTGGAAATTTGTTTCACTCTGTCTTTTTGTGGGTTCTTCTGCTTTAGAATTTGTTTAGAGCCATTTTTATAGGTATTTGAAGGGGTCTGGGGGGGAGAGCTCAAACAAGTCACTGCTTTCCCTCCACCATCTTGGCTCTGCCCTCCCATTCTTACATATAGGAAAACTGAGGCAGACAGAGATTTAGTGACTTGCCCAAGGTCACATAGCAACTAAGTAGTGTCTAAGACTAGATTTGAATTTAGGTCTTTGTGACATCAGGTCTAGCACTCTATGCATCGTACCACTTCACTGCCCAAGATTTCCTTAGAGACTGACATCCCCTCCCTTAGTGTCCCCCTTGTTCCTCTGGCTACCTCCCACCCCCTTGAGGAGGTGAGAAGGCTTGAAAGAATCACAGTGTATCAGATTTGAGAACTTCACTGCTCATCTAGCCCAATTGGTGCCCAAAAAATCCTACTCACAACCTCAGCCTGTAAAACTCCCAAGTAGTGCCAAACCAGATTGAGATATAATTGAGAAATATTTAACAAAATACATTTTAAAATGATACAACATAGACAATGTAATTTTGTGATTGTCTAAGTCAATCTGCAGCTTCACAAGGATCCATTTCTACATGAGATTGACAGTACCCCATGCTAGACAAGTAGTCAATCAGTCTTTGTCTGCAAACCTCCAGTGATGGGAAAGCCATTCCCTCCAGAGGCGGTCCATTCCACTTTTGGACTGCTCTGGTGGTTAGAAAGTTTTCCTGACACTAATGCATTGTTGGTGGAGTTGTGAAATGATCCAACCATTTTGGAGAGCAATTTGGAACTATGCCCAAAGGGCTATAAAAATGTGCATACCCTTTGACCCAGCAACAGCACTTCTAGGGCTATATCCTAAAGAGATCATACAAATGGGAAAAGGACCCACGTGTACAAAAATATTTATAGCAGCTCTTTTTGTGGTGACAAAGAATTGGAAATTGAGAGGATGCTCATCAATTGGGGAATGGCTGAACAAGTTGTGGTATATGAAGGTGATGGAATACTATTGTGCTATAAGAAATGATGAATAGTCTGACTTCAGAAAAACCTGGAAAGACTTGTATGGTCTGATGCTGACTGAAGTGAGCAGAACCAGGAGAACATTGTACACAAAAACAGCCACGTTGTGCGATGACTAATAATGATAGACTTGACCCTTCCCAGCAATACAAGGATCTAAGACATCTCCAAAGGCCCCATGATGGAAAATGCTATCCACATCCAAAGAAAGAACTATGGAGTTTGAATGCAGATCGAAGCATACTATTTGCTATTTTTTTTCTTCTGTTGATTTTTGTTTCCTCTTTCTGGTGGTTCCTCCTATTGGTTCTAATTCTTACTTACAACATCACTAATGTGAAAATATGTTTAATAGGAATGTATATGTATAGCCTATATCAGATTGTGCACCATCTTGGGGAGGGTGGTAGGGAGGGAGGGGAAGAAAAATTTTAAACTCAAAAGCATATGAAAGTGATTGTCGATAAATCAAAATAAATTAATTAAAAAATAAAAAGGCTAGGTAAAAAACAAACAAAAAACAAAACAAAAAAAGTTTTCCTGGAAGACGAGCCTAAATCTGCCAGTTTATAAATTCTATCTATGATACCTAATGGTAACCTTTGGGCCATGGAGAAAAGCTAATTCCTCTTCCCCTCCTCCAAGTGCTGGACTTGGGAACAGGAGGATTGAGATTGGCTGAAGGAAGGAAGTAGCCTGGAACAGAAAGATTGAAGGTACCAAGATAATATTCGGATGGTGTATGGAAATTAATAGGGATTGACTAATAATTCACATCTTAAGGTTTTTGAAGTGGTTTTAGATTTACAGTGATTTAGTCAGTCAATAAGCATTCATTAATCACTTACTATGTGCCAGGCACTATGCTAAATGCTGGGGATACAAAAGAGGCAAAAACATGGTCCCTGCCCTCAAGGAGCTTACAGTCTAATGCAGGAGCCAACTCTTAAATGACTAGGTACATACAAAGAGTAGATGGAAGGTAGGGGGAAGGAAGAGGGGAAGACAGAAGCAGTGGACCCAGAAAGACCTCTTTTTTATATTATTTTGATTTAGCAATAATCACTTCCATATGCTTTTGAGTTTAAAATTTTTCTTGCCCTTCCTCCCCACCACCCTCCCCAAGATGGTGCACAATCTGATATAGGCTATACATTTACATTCATATTAAACATATTTTCAGATTAGTGATGTTGTAAGTAAAAATTAAAACCAATAGGAGGAACCATCAGAAAGAGGAAATAAAACTCAACAGAAGAGAAAAAGAAAATAGCAATTCAACTTCCATAGTTCTTTCTTTGGATATGGATAGCATTTTCCATCACGAGGCCTCTGGAGATGTCTTAGATCCTTGTATTGCCAGGAAGGGTTAAGTTTATCAATGTTAGTCATCGCACAGCGTGGCTGTTATTGTATACAATGTTCTCTTGGTTCTGCTCACTTCACTCAGCATCAGACCATACAAGTCTCAGAAAGGCCTCTTGAAGAAGGTGGGACTTATAAAGGTTTTAAGTTCAGTCTAATTGTTTACAAAATGTTTTCCCCACAATCATCTTGTGAGGCCTCTAAAGTAGGGAAAATCCTTAGTTCCTTAGCTCTCCAGCTCAGAGAGTTGATTATACCCAATCAATCCATTAGGAAGGATTTATTGAGGACCTTACATGTCCCTAGCACTGCGTCTTGGCATTCATTTTCCCATTGTGTCCTCAGCTCCAGTGATATAAGCAGAGCAGGGCAGAGCACCCATTCATTACACAGATGAAGCAACTGAGGCACTGATCAGAGGCTCAGAGGAGGCCTAAGCACCTCTGTCCTTTATCCCTTGATACTTCTGGCCAGCCCCTCCTGTTTTGGGACCTTCTTCAGCATCAGCTGTTTCCTGTCCCAGATCCAGAGGCTGCTGCCCTGGGGGGGGGTCTGGCTTTCCTGGGCAGAGGGGGTGCCACTGGGCAGATTCCTGGAGGCTATGCTGGTACATGTCCCACCAATGTGCACGTCCAGCTGCTGGGGCTTCCGGACCGATTCGGACCCAACCCAGTGTGAGAGTTCGGGTCAGCAGGTGCCTCTAGGGATGAGTACAGGAGGTGGGGTTAGGGAGACTTGCTCTGGCACCTGCTACTATTCACCTTTCGCATGAAGAGTCCCTCAGGCCTTAAACTGCCTTATTTTTGCGCCCAGGGGAGAGATATTGGGAGAGGGAGAGATGTGCAGGAAGCCATAATGATATCTCACAGGTCTAGCACAAGTATCTACCTGCATTCCAGAGGAGTTTCCTATCATTCCCAACAGTTTGCCAGAGCATCTTCCTATGGAATCCTTACCCATCCCCAGGCAGAAAGGATGACTATTATCTCCCATTTACAGGTGAGAACATTGACTCCCAGAGAGGGGATTCAGTTTGCTTAAGATCTCATGGCTAGATATTAGATTTGGGTGTCATAAGACACCAAGTCTGGGGTTCTGTTCACTAGCCCACATGTGCCCTCTCTCTGAAACAAGAGTTCTTAATCTTTTTGTGTCATGGTCCCCTTTGGCTGTCTAGGGCCGTCTCAGAATAATATTTTAAATGCCTAAAATAAAATACCTAGAATTATGATGGGAACCAATTCTATGGAATCTGAGTACAAACCCCTCCTGGAGAGAGCTTGGATTCCTAAGGAATGATAGCTGGGCAGCAGGAGAGCCTGTCTTCAGGAAGGACCCCAAACCTGGACAGTCTAGGTCATGAGATGTCTGGGCTCTGAAGCTGGAGCAGCCCCTCCCCATGTTACTGGACCCCACTCCTGTCCCTACCTGCATGACAGTGAACTGGAGGAAGAGGCTTTGCTTGTGGAGGTCTCCAGCAGGAAGGCTGAAGAGGAAGGGAGCATTCCACATTGGGCTGCATCCCACTACGGCCTGAGTCTCCTGGGAGTCCAGCAGCTGGCCAGCCTGATACAGGCCAATCACCACAAAGTGCTCTGAGGAGAAGGACAGAGACCAGAGATGGAGCAGCAAAGGCGGAATGGGGAAGGGGCTGGGGACATGGACGGCTCTGTGACGGGACAAATTGAGGTTTTTCTCTGAGCTGCCAAGGCATTAACAGAAGCTAGAAAATCATAGCATCTTAGAGTTAGGAGGTGCTTTAGAGGTCAACAAACCCAACCTCTCTTCCAGCAAAGGAATGCCCTCTGCAATTTCCTCGACAAGTGATCACTCAGCCTCCGTTTGAGTACCTTCAGCGCATTAGCAACTAGCTAACTCATCTGTCTTCAAACCCTTGAGATCATCAGGTGGGGTCTGACGAGTTAGATTTGGGCCAGGGCAGGGGAGAGGTTGGGGTCAATTAATTCATTCCCCCTTCCTCACCACCCTTGACCCTGGGTCCTCCCTGCCCTCCCATTCCCAGTGTCTTCATACCCCGGTGTCCTGGCAGTCGGCCCAGACTGCACAAGTTTTCTGCTTTGCGGACCAGCACCTTGATGCGATGGGCGGTAGCTTGATACTGAAGAAGGAGGAAAAGCTGGCCCTGGGACCCCATCCAGGGAGCCCTGAAGCCTGGAGCCAGCAGGTCCTGGGAGCTGTGGCTCTGTAAGAGACACGGAATTTTCTATTCATATTCCAAAGGTGGCCCCATTGATTGTAAGCCATCCCACCTAAGCCCAGCCTTGGCTCTGCTTTAAGCAATCCCACTACCAGACCCAAACTTTGAAGTCCTACCCCTAGATCCTACAACCACACTCCGTCAACTCCTCGGCCCTGCCTCTCACCCCACCGCCCCTTCATTCTATAGTCTGGTGGCCATGCCACCAGAGTCCTTAATTCCCCCTTTATCTCCCAGAGTCACTCCTCCATATCCCAAGACCCTGCCTCCTTTGGAAACAGGGTAGTGGAAATCTCTCCAGTGGGAGGGATTGTGAGGAAACTGAACCACCGAGACAGTGAGAGAATGCAATGTCCATGGAGTCATACTTCTCATGGTCGGAGGGATGGAGGTCCTTGGTAGGCAGGGTGAGTGGAGGTGAATGCAGAGGGTGAGCAAGTGTGACCACAAGTGAGTCTTGTATGAGGTGGGCAGTGGGGTGTAGTTGTGGGCCAACTCTGGGAACATGCCCACCGTACCCTTTCTAGAACTTGGCTGCCCAAGATAGGCGTGGAGTTACTACTAAGGCTAGGGCTGGGATGGTGAGTACCAAAGATAGTGGTTGATTCCCATGGATGGGAGGAGGCTAAATCATTGGATATGGGGAGTGAGTACCAGAACTGTAGGTAAATACTAGAAATGGGGTAGAGAGCAGCAATGAGTATATCAGTGATGGGTGGGGAGTAAGTACCAGCCACAGAGGAAGGGAGGCAAATTTGAATGTCAGGGATGGAGGGGCAAGTAGCAGATAGGAGCTGAGAGCCAGAGACACTGAAGATGAATATTAGGGATGGAGGTGAGCTAGAGGATTAGAGGTGGATTCCAGTTATAGGGGCTGGGCTTCATAAATCAAGGTATCAGCACTGAGTGGGGAGTGAGCACCATCAGAGTAGGAAGGGGGCATCTCTGAATGCCAGAGATGGGGATGAGTGTGTAGGGGATAGTAACAGGGTTACTGGGAGCAAGTCTGGGCGATAGAGGTGATCTCCAAGGAGGGGGGTGATTCCTAGGAATGGAGGGTGACTCCAAAATAGCCCTAAGCTGCCCACAGCTCTTTCTCCCCCTCCTCTGGGTCTCGTAGGCCTGCTGGTTCTGCTCTCAGAAGCTATTGATTAGCACGGCTCCCAAGGCCCCTGACCTTGTGCATTTTGTTCTTGGTGGTGGACAGCTCCCGGTTGTAGCTGACCAGGCAGCCAGGGAGAGAATCTGAGGCCACCTGGGCACAGGGAAAGAATACTTCACCCACAAAGCAGTTTCTGAGTCCGGCGAAGTCCTGGCTGTAGACAGCCATCCGCAGAGCCTGTGCCCCCACAACCTGTGGGGTGCTGCCTTGGAAGCTGAACCTCTCATGGAACTCCACAGTGGGGCCAGGAGGCTGCAGGGCTGTTTTCTGGTGACCAGTTCTGCTTGGGACCAGATGCAACTTGACGTAGCATCCTCGGCCAGACAGGGAACCCTTTGGTAGCTCTGATGCTCGGATGTCTGTCACTATCGGCTCCTCCTCCACTGGTGAATAACCCAGGGAGAAGCTGAGACGAGGCTGAGAGTGACCAGGGAGGCTGCGGGAGGCCAAGGGGGAGGTGAGCCACTCCAGGGAGCTGGCTCTGGCCATGGGCCTTCTCTGCTTCTTCTTGGATGTGGATGGGAAATTAGGAGGTTCGGGGGTTGTGGAGAGGAAGAGACCTGGGCCATGGGGCTCCGGGAAGGGGGCTCCCAGGCCTGGAGGGACTGGTATTGAGGCTGGACAGACACGGCCAGGGGTTCTGAAGGGGCCACAGCTTTCAGGACCAGAACCATGGCTGGGGTGGGCAGGTTGGCCCGCGGTTGTCTCCACCGCCAACAGAATCCACAGCCCAGCAGGAGGCTGGAGAAGAGGACAGTGCACCCAGCTCCCAGGAAGATCTGTTGGGACACTGGAGGAGACAGGAGTCAGGGATGTGGGGAAAGGGCTGTCACCAACCACCCTGGCCTTCTCTGTCTCTATCACTGTCTCTCTCTTTTTTGGTGAGACAGTTGGGGTTGTGACCTACGCAGGGTCACACAGCTAGTGAGTGTTATGTGTCTGAGGCTGGATTTGAACTCAGGTCCTCCTGACTCCAAGGCTGGTGCTCTATCCGTTGTGCCACCTAGCTGCTCTGTCTATCTCTCTTTCTCTCTCTCCCCTCTATCTCTCTGTCTCTCTGTATGTGTCTCTGTCTTTCTCTCCTCTCTCTCTGTTTCTGTGTGTCTTTCTCTGTCTCTCCTCTCTATCTTCCTCTCTGTCTGTCTCTCTGTGTGTCACTGTGTCTCTCTCTCCCTAACCCTAATTGCGCTCTCTATCTTTCTCTCTCTTCTCTATCTCTCTGTCTGTCTGTCTGTCTCTGTCTCTGTCTTTCTCTGTCTCTCTCTGTCTGTCTCTGTCTCTCTCCTAATGCCAAACTATCTCCTTTAAACCCCTTTAGATTCCCCCTCTAATATCGCTTCCTGGAATAATAACAATAATAGCAATTTCAGGTTTGCAAAGTGCTTTCTGTATATCATCTCAGGATTGATGAGTCCTTCGCCCATCCCGTGATCCCATGGGGAGCCCCAGCCCCTCAGTCTCTGGACTTTCCCCCCTCCTCAGCAGCAAGCTTAGTGGTGGAGGAGAGAGCTGGGTCTCTTTCCTAACCTACCTTCCCTTCTAGGTTGGACTTGCTGGGCTGCCCCCATGGAGGGAGCCTGGGAGGAGGGAGATCTGTAATGAGCTAAGCAGCTAGACAAACTAAATTTCAGATGTGTGGATAATGAGAACATAGAAGGTAATGAGAGCCTCTGTGGGTATAACTTTTTAATACGCTTCAAAGTGATTGCATTATTACATCGGATTCTCACCAATGTGATTGGCGAGGGAGGTAGGGTTTATTATCCCCATTTTGTAGATAAGGAGACTGAGGAACGTGGTTGTATGTAGTAGGTGACAGAGACAGAGTTACACTCTGAGGCTGACGGCTACCAGCCCAGAGCTCTCTCCACCACCCCACACCAGGGGTTTCCTTCTCTCAGACCGTAGGATCTCATTCAGCTTCCTTCACTTCTGCTGTTTCAGAAATGTCTGCCTATAGTCCTGTCCCAGGAAAGGGAGAGGGGCAGAGGGAGGGGAGAGGGGAAAGTAGGACTAAACAGGTTTACAGATTTAAAGCCAGAATGGACCTTTGAGGCTGCCAAGTACAATTCCTCCTATTTTACAGATGAAGAAATTGAGGCTGGAGGAGGTTGGGCAGGATATGAACTCGGGTCTTTTGACTCCAGGTCCAACGCTGTCTCTACTGCACCACCAGAAGAGACCTCAGAAGTCACCTAGCCCAACCTGTACCTGTCCAGGAATCTTATCCACAACTTCCCCAACTGTAGTCTTTTTTTTTTCTTTTCTTTTTTTTTTGTGAGGCAATTGGGGTTAATCCCCAATGGCAGTCTTCCAAGCCTCTGCTTGAAAAATCTCCATCTGTACATCTTTCACCATTACTCCTTTTTTTTTCCACCCTCAAGGACCAGTCTGTGCTCTTTTCTGCCCCACAGACAATTTTTGCATTTCACACATAATGGCATTTCTTTTTTATCTGTATATGTGGTTCACCCCTTCCCCCATCCTCCATAGGAATGGTGCCTGTACACAGTAGGCATTAAATAGATGCTTACTGAACTGAATCATATTGAAATGTGATTCTTCCCTCCTATGGTAGCCCTTTAAGCATTTGGAGACAACTCTCTGCCCCTACTAAGTTTTTTCTTCTTCAGGCTGAATATCTCTTTATTCAAACTCCATACGACCTGACCTGGAGGCCCCTGACCATCCAGTGCTTTAAGATTTATAAACTGCTTTACCAATAAATATTATCTCAATGACTTCTTGAGGTAGGTGCTGTTATTATCCCCATTTTACAGATGAAGAAACCAAGGCAGAGAGAGGTTAAATGACTTGCCCAGGGTCATACAGCTTGACAGTGTCTGAGGCATCATGTGAACTTGTCTTCCAAGCGCTGCTACCAACTGATGTGATCATGGTCACTTTCCCTCTGTGCTCCTCAGTTTCCCCATTTGTAAAAATAAAGTTCTATTGTATTTTAAAATGTGAAGAGCATCCTTAGCTCACACAAAAAAGAGGTTGTCAGATTCGGACTTTGGGTCAATGTTAGCTGGCCCCTGGAATATGTCAAAGTCTCTCCTAGTTCTAGGTACTATGATGCTCTTCTCTGTACTCCATCCCTTATCTAGTAGTGATAATAGCTAACATTTATGTAGTGTTTACTATGTGCCAGGTGCTTTACAATTATTTCATTTAATCCCTCACAGCAACTCTGGAAGGTGGGTGCTATTATTATTCCCATTTTACAGATAAGGAAACTGAGGCAAACAGAAGTTAAGTGACTTTTCCAGGGTCACATAGCTAGTAAGTGTCTGAGTCCAGATTTGAACTCAGGTCTTCCTGACTCCAGGACCAGCTCTCTATCCATTGCACCACCTAGATTCTCTCCAGGTACTCCCTGTGCCCTCCTGCTAACCAGAGCACCCAACTTTGGCTTCCCTTCCTCCATAGTATGCCGGCCCCTCTCCCAATTAAAATGTCCATTCCTTAGGCCTGCCCAAGCCTCATAGATGTGATAAACTCCTTCCCAGGTGACAGAACTCCCCTTGAAAGAGAAATCAGGATGCCTGAGAGCAGATAGTTTGCACTTTGTAACAGAGCACAGGGCAAAGCCTTCTCCAAAAGAATGAAATTTTAATGCTAAAACTTCAGGCATCCCTTGGGGCAGTTTCTGCCAGAGGGGCTTTTCCCCCAGCACTTCTCAAATCAAACTGTGGAGTCAGTCACTTGGTCAGGTCAGCACCATAGGACATTGGACTGAGCTCCAGATTTGAGGTTCATGGTCCTGGGTTTGAATTCTGGCTTTGCCACTTACTACCTGAGTGATATGTGACAAGTCACTGGGCCCTACCCTGGAAAATGAGGAGACTGAAAATATTTGCAGCAGCGAAAACCTGGAAACAAAGCAGATGTCCATTGATTGACAAATGGCTGCTCAAAGGTGGCCTGTGAATGTATTGTATTATTATTATTTTGCCCAAAGAGATAATGATATATGAAGAGCTCAGAGAAACTTGCTAATATTTGTATGAAGTAATGCAGACTATGGCAAGGAGAACCTAATATATAACAATATAAAGGAAAATAACACTAAGAGACACCAGAATTATGTTCTTTGTTCTATGGGATAGGCATAGCTCTCTGGGAGAGGGAGGTGCGGCATACAGGGAGAAGTTAAGGTGATTAAAAACAAAAGATATTGGCAAATATATATATATATATATGTACTATTTTAAAAAGACATCAGTATTCAGATCAATGCAATGACTGGTTTTGACTGCAGAGGGCTGATGCCCCCTCCTCTTAGTAAAGAGGTGGTGGACTTCAGGTGCAGAATAAGACATAAGCTGTTAGACATGGTCTGTGTTTCAATTTGTTTTGCTTACCTGTATTCTTGGTTACAAGGGAGGTTACTAGTGAGGGAGTTGGGTTGTTGCTAAATGACCGAGGTGTAAAAAAAATTTTAAAAATAGAATTGATAAAACTCTTTTTTAATGAAAAATAATAATATAAGAGGGGAGTGGGCTGAATAAGCTCTAAGACCCCTCCTGGCTCTAAAGGAATGATCTGATGATCCCCGTCCTTCTCTCCTTTCTCCAGTGCCTTGACCATCCGTGCTGGATGATGGGCAGGACCACCTGCGGCAGCTAGGTCTGGCTAGAGACTTCAGAAAGCTGCCCTAGGTCACAAGGCTGGAGGGGGCTGGCCACAGGCCCAGAGAAAATCAGGGTTGGTGGAGTTTCAGCAGCTTTCACCTGTTTGGGGCTGTTCTTACCTCCTGCTTAGGAGGCTGAACCAGGACTGTTACCTGGGATAAACAGTAGGGGCCTTGTCTTGGCTGAGTGTGGGAGGTGGGGGTGGGGAGAACTAAGGCCAGAGAGGGAAGAGGCAGAGCCCTTAGCACAAGGGGCGAAAAGGAGTCCCAAGGCAGAAAACTTGGGGTAGGGAAAGGAGCCTGGGCTGGGGAGGTGTTTACATGTGGTTTGCATGTGATTTGCATTTGGCTTTCAGCACCTGCCATCTAACCTAGTCGGCCACACGGAGTGGGGGGTGGGGGTGGAGTGAAGGTCACCGTGTTCGCATTCTTCTCTTTATTCCTGCTCACACACCCACTGCCAGCACCCCCAGTCCCTGCCACAGGAGAGGGGGGAGTGAGGGGCCCAGCTAAGGGGAAGAGAGGAGGAAAGCAGGAAGGACCCCAAGAAGCTCTGCTGAATCCTCAGAGACCGAAATCTCAGCTCCAAGAGCTAGGGAATGTGTCAGAAGGACACAGTTTCCCATGAATATTCCCAGTATTCTTAGAATCTTTCTTCGGTGTTTCTATCCCCCTCCAGGTGTTTAATCGAAGACTAAGGGCTTTTAAATGATTGTTAATAGGTGAGAGATCAGAAGGGATGGGGCAAGTGCAGGGGAGGACTTGATCTCTCAGACTAAAACACTTCTGCGACTATTTAGAAATGAATTCCAAGGTTCCAGTTTCACCAGAAGGAAGAAGGATGACCAGGACAGTGAACAGGCTGGACCCGAAGGAGAAAAGATGGTGGTGATGGGAAGGGTGTGAGGCCACGGGGTGGATGTCCTACGGTGGGTGCCTCTCCCAGAAGATGAAGACACAAGGGAGGCACAGGACTAGAGGAAAGGACTTTCTGGGAAGCTGCTTGCCTTTTGGAGTCTGGGTTGTAGAGGCAATGTGCTGTGCCTTCAAGGGCTGCACCAAAAGAAAGCAGGAACCCCATAGTCATTCCAGACCTGGTTTCCTAATAAGTCCTATTGCCTGTTACCTCCCTTTTCCGGCTATCTTCACTTACTCAGAGTAGAAAGTAGTGAGAGAAGGACTTGTCCCCATTCCTTAGGCAGGGAAAACTGAGGGGCGAAAAGGGAAACTCTTGAGCACTTTGTGACCCTGGGTAAATCACTTCAAAACTCCTAGCCTCAGTTTCCTCATCTCTAAAATGGGGATAATCCATGACTATTTACTTCATGGAGCTGTCATGAGAAGGGCAAAACATTCCAAGGCACCATCAAAATATTGACTACTCATACTCCAGATAGGGCAGCAATGGTGAAACTGGAAAGAAAACTTGAGTCTACTGGCTCTAAGGAACATGTTTGTGTATGTAAATGTTTGTGTGCATCAGATTTCCTCACTATTAGCAGGGACAGGAAGGGGAGGGTAACTCAGAAAAGCAACATGGAGTGAAGAAAAGATCATTGGACTGGGAGTCAGGCGGGAGCTAGGTTCGAATCCTGGCTCTGGCCCTTCTTAGCTTTGTACCTATGAACAAACCATGACTTCTCTCTGAGCCTCAGTTTCCACTGCTATAAAATGGAGCCATTAATACTTATACTCCCTGCTTTCATAAGGAAAGCATCTTGTAAGCTTGAAGAGGATAGAAATACCATCTACCCACTCACCTTTTGACAGAGAAATGATGGACTCAAGATGCTGACTAAGACATACACTTTCAGATGCAGCCAATAGATTAGTTTGATTTTCTTGACTATGAGTATTTGTCACAAGGCTTTGTTTTTCTTTTTCCTTCCCCTCCCCCCTCCCCCCGCCAGCAGGTTGGATGGGGTGGGAGGGGTAGGGATAGAGACAGGGTAGCAAAAAAGAAGAAAACAAAGAAAGAGAGGGTTATTGCAGGTTTTTTTTTTAATGCAAAGAGAACAAAAAGAAACATCAGCAAGACAGCTTTGAAAGCTACTGGTTGAACTTACTTGAAAAGAAAAGCAAGATGTATGTAGCTGAGATCTGCTTTTTCGTGTACAATTCTCTATGTTCTAAAGAGAAATTTCATCTGGTGTTTGTGAAGTTCAGAATAAACATTTTTAAAATGTGAGTTATTAGTGCCCAAGGAAGTAGCTTCAATGACAGGAAAGAAGGAAACTTAGGAACCCTACCTCCCAGTATTAGAACCCCCTCCCTTGCCCCCTGCAGTTGCCCACCCCTAAGAGCGCTCCTTACCTCCTCTCCTGGCCCCAGTCTTCCACAGTCTCTGGACTGCTCTACCTACCCCAGCCCTAGTGAATCGCTGTCCACCCTGACCAGGTGCTGACCCCCCCCACCAGCCCCACCTCAGGATTACCTGCTTCCTGTTCATGAAGGGGACTACCAGGAGCCTGGGGGGCCCGGGGCCAGCTCCCTGCTGCAGGCATGGACATTTCTCTCAGAGTGGATAAATCAAGGGCCAGCTGAGGCAACCCTGGGGCTCCCCTGAGAAAGACGTTTCTGGGTGGTGGTCAAGGGCCCAATCTGCACCGCTTAGTGCCTGGCCTGCTGAAGAGCTCCTGGGTTTCAGGTGCCTTGGGCAGAGGGACAGAAGATTGGAACACAGGGGCCCCTGGTGCCAGTTTGATACACCTCTATGAGTATATTCTGAGGTTGAGCAGAGCAAGTCTATTGCTGGTCAGTTTCACCCTTAGCTGGGGCGGAGGCTGGTTAGAGGCGGGGCACCCGTGAAAGAAAATTCCCCCTCTCTTTGCTTTTTTTTTTCCTCCTGGGGGCTAAGTTGTGCAAGAACTACTGTGATGGATTGAGCACCTGACTCAGAAGATCTGGGTTCAAATCTTAGCTCTGCCTCTTACTACCTGGACAAACATAGGCTAGGCTTTTTATTCCTCTAGGTCTTAGTTTACTTACCTGTAAGATGAAAGGATTGGCTTATGTAAAGCCCCCCTTCAGGCTCATTCTTTGCCCCAGGCTCAGATATCAGGGAGAGGGAACCAGGTAGTTTAGGGCTTGCTTTGTGATTCTCCCTCAGATCCTTCATCAAAAGGAGGGAGAGGGACAGTTGCATTCACTCTCTCATAGATTCATATGTTAGAACTGGGTGAGACCTTAGAGACTGATCTAGTCCAACCCCTCAAGTTACAGATGAGGAACCTGAAGCCCAAAGATGACTAGCACTAGAAAGGACTAGAAAGCAGGTCTCATGCCTTGTATCAGGGTGCTGCTTCCTTACATACATGCTCATCCTCCTTCCTCACCATCTATCCAAGCTGTCTTTCAAGGCCAAACTCAAATCCCCATACACTCGGGCAGCCTTCTTTGGCCATTCCCAACCTTCCTGAATTTTCCTTTAACTGGAGACACAGTACACAAATTAATCCCACTTGCTCATCATCAGCTGTCTATCCTATATTTTCTGTATTTTTTTCCATGAATTTGAATCTTGTGTCCCCAGCTAGACTGTAACATGACCCAAAAGGTAAATGAATCGTCCTGTGGTCACACAGCTAGTAAATTTTAAAATCAAGACTGGAATCTAGGTCTCTGACTCCAAATAATCATAATAATTGTTATAACTAGCATTTATATAGCATTTTAACGTTTGCAAAGCACTTGACAAATATTACCTCATCATAACAGCCATGGGAGGTATTATTTCCCCCATTTTACAGATGAGGAAACTGAGCCCCCATAAAGGTTAAGTGAATTGCCTAGGGTTCCCCAGTTAGTGCCTGAGGCAGGATTCGAACTTAGTTCTTCCTGACTCTGAGTCCAGTGCTCTATCCACCCAATCACCTAGCTGCTGCTTTCCCCACCACTGAGCTGCTAGAGCAGGTTGTAACAGACAGCCCAGTACCACGTACCTCTTGTCTCTCTAACTGTAGGTACGCTCTCCTCCAGCAGGGCCAGAACCTTTGTGCCTCTCCCATAGTGCCTAGCACTGGGCTGGGGGACCTAGATGACCCCTCTTCTGCCTTCTTTTCCCTACCTCCTCACATTTCTTCCCATTATCCTTGGGATAGGACTCACTTTCAGCAAACTTGAAATCCAATTATTTAGGACTTAGACCATACTGCCTGGATAGAAAAGGTCTGGCAAGTAGAAGACTCCTGAGCCATAACGCATTGCAAAGGTACAAAACCTCACCACTAATTTCAGCATTAGCCAGGATGAAGGTCTAATGTTTCATGTAAACCCTGTTACAAAAGCACCCAACCCCAAGTGTGAGCTACCCAGTCCGGGAGAAGAGGGGGAAGTGAGATGGTGTGGCAGAAAAGAACTGTTCTGGAGTCAGAGGATGTGAGTTCAAATCCCACTTCTGATACTATCTGTATAACCTTGGATATATTTACCTTGTCTGGGCATCAGTTTCTCAATCTGTAAAATGAGGGGGTTGGTTGAACTTATGGCCTCTGAGGACACTTGGAGCTCCAGATCCATGATATGGATTCAAAATCAAATGTGTGTTCAACTCCCAAGCATGTGAGTTAGCTTACTCAATGTGTATGGAGTCTAGACCTCCACCTCCACCTATCCCCACAACTGCTGAATAGTGGCTGTTATCAGAAAGGAATTCTAACTGGGATACATGGTGGAGTCCAAAGGGGAGTTTTCTTAACCCGAACCTTACGTAGAGGATGAGCCGCTGAATTCCTCTTGGGCAATATAAGGGACACTGAACAACTTTGGCTTAGGGCATTGTGTCTTCTGTCACCAATCCATTAGCACCTTAGTTACCAGAATGCTCCTACCAGGAACTCATTAGCAAGCAGTCCATGAATTCCTTAGTTGGGCTCTGAGGGCATGGAACAAAACACTCCTTCGATGGAGAAGGCTTAATTAAGGTAGGGCTGGCCAGGGCTCTGGTGGTGGTAAGGAGTGAAGAGGTTATTGAGACTCTCTCATCTCTCATACTTTCCTGGGTTCAGCAGGCCTAGAACCTATACCTGAAGACAAAAATCACCGAAGGAGGTCCTTTCTACTAGAGCCCTTCTTGGACTGCCCCCTGGTGGCCACAAGTCAAGCCCACAGCAGTTGGACAGCACCAAGGGCCCCATAGAAGCCAGTAAGAGTTGGTAGGTAAAGACCCAAGGTCTGAAAACAATTCTCATTCTCTCTGTTCCATTGCCCACGAGCTTAGGGAAAAGCTTAGTGCTTTTCCTCAGGAAAGGGCTTATTTCTCTCACTGTTGAAGCCAAGCCCAGGGAGGCATTCAGTAAGACTGAACTGAAGGAAGAGTGGTCCTGGCCCCTAACTTCTCCAGACCTGTTCCCTCAACACTGAAATGGGGGGGATTGGAACAGATGACCCTAAACACCCTTCCAGTTCTAAATCTATGACCTTATTATGCCTTGTGATTTCTTAAGCATGGGGGAACTCCCACTGCTCATGCAGAATGACAATGCTTTACGTCTTAGTTGCCTGGGAGCACGGGATCCCACAGCCAGTGTTTCAGAGCAATGACGTGGACTCCAAGGCTGGTCTTCTACACTCAAAAGTCTCGCTAGAAAACCTCATTTAAGAGCTCACACAGGAAAGTACGTGTGGCCTTCCTTCAACTCATCACCTTGGAGAGCTAACAGCCCTAGAAGGATGCAGCCAGTTACTCAGAAGGAAAAATTCTCTTTGATAAAGGCCTTTGGAGCCTGATTACAGGTCACCCAAGTAGAGCATGCTCATTGCTTTTGATTGCCAGAGGCCTCTTCACCTTATTCACCAGAACGTGCTCTTACATGACTTGTTGTTTCCAAATACCTACATTACTGGTGCCCAGCTGAGCTCCAGCTTACGGACAATCCACACTCATCTGCATCAATGTGCTGACAGTCCGAAAGGAAAAGCTGCTGCATTACTTTTTATCCTAGTCTGTTGATGGATGGACTCCACCAAACGATCAGCCAGAGGGAAAATTTGGTTGGCATCTCTGGCCTGTCAGGCAAGGTATGAGCTCAGAACTGGAGCTAAGAGAGCCACGGATCAGGGGAAACTATGTGGTGGGGGGTGGGACAGCACCTGGCTCCAAGTCAAAGCTGTAGGTATTTCTCTCCCTCCAGACAAGGAATTGAAGGAAATGGCTACTGGGCTTTCTGTCCTTTTCTCATAACCGTCTGTCCCAAGGCTGTCACCCTTAGCCCTACCCACCCACTCACCAAGTAACTGAATGTATTCTATAAAATATTATCTATCTATATATAGATGTATATATATATATATATATATATATGTGTGTGTGTGTGTGTATACATATATTATATAGCAGAAGAGAGGCAGGGGCCTGTTCTTGTGAAGAGGTAGAAGTTTATTGGAATATAAACATTCAGAGAACATGTAAGATAGAAAATAACAACAACATATACAGACTCTTGCTGTAAGAAGACATCTGAGGTATTCATCCACCGCCTAGGCTACCCATGTGCTATCACATCTTCTTGTTAGAATATATAAGATATGGGGGAGGGGGAAGGAGGGAGCAAGGCTGCCCTCACTGTTTGGTTTAAAAAAAGGTCCTTTCTGGGGAAGCAGATCTTGGAGCCAGGGCCCTTTGCCTGTGTCCTCCATTGGCACACCCCCACACTCTGCGGTCTGGCTGGGGACCTTCTCAGATGAGGTGATGCCAGGCTGGCTTTACTGGGGGAGACCGAGTGACTGCAGAGACCTCCTGCGCTATTCCTGCTTCCTCCAGGTGGAAAGTCCATCCGGCATGGCTGAACCCCTGAGAACTACACGCTACACACTGCTTACACGAGCTGCAGCCGAGCTGGGGGCCCGGGACAAGGCAGTGAGGAAGGCCGAGTTGCCCCTACCACCAGCCCAACTCCTGTCTTGGCGATGCTGGTTTCTAGAGATGCACCTCCACCGCACAAGGTCTGACTCATGGGTGGGATCTCCAAGTGCCAGGAGACGAATCCCAGCTGAAGACAGGAGGCTAGGCTACACAGATCTGTCATGTGCTCGTGCTCCTCAGCAGTTTTCCTTCCTTTCCTGAGTTGGACTGATGGCTGTCTGTGCTCTCCACCCAAGCCAGCACGGTCCAGAGTTCTGCAGGGCTGAGAACGGCAGGATGGCAGGTGCTCGCTCTCCTGCAGAAGTGTTCACGAAGCTCTGTGCAAGTGCCTCTTGTCACAACATTCAGACAACAGGCTCCGGACCACAGGGCCAGAGGGAAGAGGAAGCAAGTGGGAGACCTACGTCCTTAGCCCTGGGGCAGCCAGAAAACCCTGCTCTTTGGCTCCAACCAACAAGGTCCCCGAGGCCTCGACAATGCCATTAACGGGGCACGTGCTGCCCTCGAATGTAGGATGGTGGGGTCGGAAGAGTTGTGACAAGAAAGGGGCCTTGATCTCCTAGGGCAGAGTCTGGAAACCCAAGCTGGCATGAGGAATGAGTCCAAGCTGCCCATCTCCTCTCTCTGGCTCCTATCCCTGAGTCATCTGCCTCTTGCCTTTCCTGCCCCTTCTCTGTGGTCCTGAGGAAAGGCCATTAGGACTGGGATACCAAGCTATTTGCTTAGCTTTGGGGATGGGGTGCTTTTTTTCATCTTTGGTGCTACAATAATAATAATAATTATAATTATTATAATAAAAATAAAAAACAAGTCATCAAAACACATATAAAAAGATTTCAGAGATGCAAATACTTCCTGAAGAATCAAACATCAACAATTACAAATCTGAGGTATTTCAAAGAACCCGATGCAGGCAGGTTAGGTGACCCGGGGGTGGGGATACTGAGTTGGCCCCTTGAGATAGATGGAGCAGGGAGGGAGGTGTGGGAGTGGAAAGGGCCAAGGGGAAGGCCAGGACAGTTAAGGGATGGCCTGGCCAGTGGAGTGTGGGGCACGTGGACTTGAAGGACCATGGAGGATAGGGATGATAAAAGGGCATATTTTCCTTGGGATGAGATGAGGTGAGTACCCTTGGGTGACTTTGGATTGTACAAGACCCTGAGAAGTGATTCCTGTCCCTCAGTAGATAACTCAGCAGTGCTTTGGGGCTCCCCAAGGCTATGCTCAGGCCCTAGGCCCCATTCTGTGCAACAGTTAAAAATGGAGCAGGTAACCCTGTGGCTTACTGGGGATGTGAAACACACCAGGTAATCCAAGATCTCCAGGGGGTGGGGTGGTTGGAATGGATATAAGGAGATGCCCAACCCTTACCCTCAGTAGAGGTACAGGGGGAGGTGGCAGGGCACCCTTAGAGATCATCTTTCCCACGTGACTTGGGGGAGAGATGAAGCTTAAGGACAGAGCTGGCAGGATGAGTCAGTGAAAATGGTGATGAACAAGTTGGAAGGGAAATAAATTAAGGGGAAGGCTTACGGAGGGGAATCCAATCCCCTGCCGGCTCTCAGATTGTCGATACACTGTGCTGCTCCAGGCTGGGAGACACCAGTCACTCCCCATCAACTAAGACAATGGCTGATTGGACAGCACTGCTCCCCCTCCCTCCCCAGGGGCACAGCAGGACTTGAATGGAGCTGGACAGATGGGCCAGCCGGGGCCCTTGCTATCCAACTGGATGATCTTGGAAGTGGGTGCTGGGGAATGAGGTAAAAACTGTTCAACTCCTTTCCTGGCTCTTGAGGTGGGGAGCTGGGCCTCCTGACCCATCAGAGGGCCCAGCTGGTTGAGGGCTCTGCACTGGGGGTGCCCCGTGATGAGGTAGGACTTGGGGAGCAGTGGGAGCTGCCGCTGCTGCTGCTGCTACTACAGGTGCTCTGGGGGGCTGGGCTGGCAATGAGGTGGACCACAGGCTTCTGGGCAAACAGCACACCTGGGGCAAAGAAAAGACATGTTGGGAGGAGAGAGTTGGTGCTTTACCCCTTTTCAGTCACATTCAGGGGGATCCTGGCCTCCTCAGAGCGGCCTGCTGCAGGGCCTATGGAAGAGTAGAGACCAAGAACTCAGAGTTCCCAACTTTCACTCCCCCACTGCCCAAATGAGCAGTCTGCCAGATCTGTCATGGCGCCTGTCTGGTGCCCGCCCTCCTTCACCCCACCCCACCCCCATCACGCCACAAAGAGGCCACTGGTGCATTCAGGGCTGGGTGGGCTGCTTAGAAAGACCGGCCTCTCTGTCCCCCTAAAGCTTTCCCTCAGTTACTCCTCCCACAGTCAGCCAGAAAGGGTGGTGACCGAAGGCTGGTGACCAGTGACGGGGAGAACACTGACCATTTTAAGAAACCTGGGCATGTCCTCATTGTCCTAAATGCCCAGGAAGTACAGTTCATGCCTTTAATGGAAGGTCTCGTCAAGGAGGTCTCTATCTAAAGGGGAAAACTGAGCTCTCACTTCTGTGAGAGGGCTGCTCAGTCACCCTTTCGCTCCCAACCCTCCTGTAAGCTAAGACATCAGATATCATCGCCTCCCTGTAACAGCTAAGGGCTGACTGAGGCCAGTCAGCTCTTCCCCTCTCCTTAGCACCCCAGAGACCACTTTCGTGCTGAAAGTGCCCATGAGGAAAACCCGCCTGGGGTGGTGAGGAAGCAGGGGAGGCTGTGAGGGTGCCACCTCGGGAGAGGGGCCAGAGGAACCACCCTGCGCTGGGCCGCTCCCTTCACCTGCGTAGATGGTGCCATTGATCTCTACAGACATGTTGATGCTGCCGATGCCACTCGTGGACAAGTTCAGTGCTGCTGCTGCCTCGGAGCGATCTTCTGCTGGGAGAAATGGAAAAAATGGGGCTTGTGAAGCTAGAGTTTCCCCTTCCACCATCTTTCTGGCTCCTTGGGGGAATTTCTTGAATGATCTGCTCTGGGGATTGAGCTTAGAGTACAGCAGCAGTCACGGGGAGCAGGCTTTGGTTCTCTCCACGGGTCCATCATCACACAGACCATCCAGCCCCTCAGACTCCTCTCCCTCCAGAATGGCCATTAATCCAAACCAGACTCTCCACTGCTCCCCCAGCCTTTCCCAGCACATACTTTCACCCCAACCCGTTCCTGGTGACACAGTGACTCAGGAAGTCTAGCATTTCTGGAAGAACCTGGGCGGCTGGAAGACTAGATCTCTGCTAATCTAAGGCCAAGAAGGAAAGAGCCAGGATTTGGAATATATCTCTTTCACCACTGAATCCTGGAACCCTAGGTCATCTGACTCTCAAACAGGTCTATCCCTAAACCATCAGAGAGCAGAGTTTCTATCATTTCCAAAATGGGGATCTGTAGATCTTCAGTTGAGAAGAATCTTCCCCAAGAATCTCGTTCCTCTATGACACCTGGCCAACAGACATTCAGACCGCCCATGAAGTTGGCCAGCTGGGGATGTTCCTGAAGCACAGATCTGACCGTGTCACTGTGGCCCCATCACTCCTGGAATAAAACAGGAGCCCTTTCAAGCTCTCCACACCCTGGATCCAGCCCATCTCTCAGCTCCTACAATCCAGCAAAGTAGCCTTTGCACATGACTCATGTTTCTGCACAGCCCTCCCCCATGCCTTCCTCATGAATTTGGTGCAATGTCTTGCATAAACCCTCCTCTTCATCTCTCAATTGTCTTCAATGTTGTATGTGTATACAGGCGGTCTCTCCCTAGAGAATGTAAGCTTTTTGAGGCCAGGGGCCATTTCATTTATGTCTTTGCAGCCTCAGTGGCCCTTTTGAGAGACTTCACAAGACATCCTCTTCTATTTCTAAACTACTCTAATCGTTAGAAACAAGCACAAATCTGCCTCCCTGGACTTTCGACCACTAGTTCAAGGCCCCTCCTCTGGAGCCCCCAGAAGTCTGATGTCTCTTCTCTGTAACAAGCGTGGAGCCCAATCTCTGGAGCAGAGGCATCAAACTCCAAACAGATTAAAATGTAATCAGGAAACGTTTAACAAAATAAATAAAATACAACACAGATAATGTTAGTTTGTGGTTTTTCTAAGTCAACATGCAGCCCAGATCATTTCTCTCTGAGTTTGAGCACAACAGGACTGTGACTGTTTTTACTCTTGACACAGGTCCCTAACAAACCAGGTTCCCTCAGTTATAGCAACACCACTGGGCAAGTCTTTCTTTCTCCACCACCAAGCTGCATCCCTACCTTTCTCAAAACAAACTTTCCCCTGTTCTTCTCCAGGTCCTGGGAGAGTTATCTCAAGAGGGAGAGAGGAAGGGGGAGTGTTTGGTAGGCTCAGTTAAAATTCAGGGTCAGCTTCAGCTATAAAGCAGAAAGAGAAGCTCAAAGGCTCAGGAAACTCCACTGGTCATCGAATGAAGGGCCTTCTTAAGAGGCCTGGGACTTTCGAGTTCCCTGTCTTGGTTTCTCCATGTCCTATACTCTGGGTCAACATGGGCAGAATGGGAGCTCTCTGGAAAAGCCCAGGTCCCTTCAGACCTCAGTCGTTTCCCCAAAGGCCCCCAGTGCACATTACTGACTAATTTGGTACAGAGTCGGGGTTCCTGAAACAAGTAGGAAAGGGGAGGAAGGGAAGGAGAGGAACATGGGGAATGGGCGGGGCAAGGGAAAATGCAGTACAAGAAGGGAAGGATGTCAATTATGCTGCCAAACTTGTATTTCCTCTTTCTTGTCATCTAGGAAGACCATCAGTGGGCTCATCTTTGCTGGGGAAGGAAGCTAACTGCCCAGCCTCAGGCTAACCGCCCCCTACACTGGCCTCAGTAATGACGGGCGTCCCTTCCTCCCTAAACCTGCCTTGGCCTTGCCTACATCTGGCATGAAGGCTGAGCCCTTTAATTTAACTGGATCAAAAGGGACGAGGGGAAAGAAACACCAGCTGTTGCCTCTGAAGGTCTGCAGCTCCTCCTTCCAGGTTTGCCAGAGGGGCAGGATGAGGTGGGATGCTCTGACCTGATGTGCCCAAGTGTCTATGACATCCTCGGGGCCCTTGCTAGGAAATCCTGGGCAGTAATTACTCTGCCTGGTGCCCCGTGAACTGTGGCGGTCACCCCTTCTCCCTCCATGCCCAGTGGTCAGTGTCCCTGTCCCCAAGGCTGCCATGGATGGCAGCCGGAAGGACCCCCAGGGCAGGACGCCCAGCTCTTGCTTCCTCACCCCTGCCGTTGATTTTTACTTTCATGGGGAGCTGCCGGGCCACGCTCAACAGGTTTCGATGGAAAGCCTGCTGCATGAACCGCTGCTCCTCCTCAGTCATCCTTGATGCCTTCTTCTCCGGAGGCTCCCCGGCCTCAAGCCGTTCCCGTAGCTGCTCCAGGGTAGCGGTGCGGGGGCCTGTCTGCTGGCCTCCCGCTAAGGTCACGGGCACAGCCAGCCGGTTGGGCATGGGCACTGTCATGGCAACTCCATCACCTGCCAATGGGACCAGAATAAGGCTAAGGGGCTCTAACATCCGCCTCACCAGGGCACCCAATGACCCCCAGGCTTGGAAGCCTGGAAATGGAATTCCGGCCTTCTGATTCTCAACGATGCTCCCCTGCCCTTTCCTCCCCAAGCCTAGGCCCCTGGGAGACACTGACCTTTCCTGAGAGTCGCTGCTGGGGGCAGCCGAGGGCCACTAGTCCCACCGCCGCTGCCGGGGGTGAGTCCAAGGATGGGGAATCGGATCTTTGGAGGGGAGAGCAGGGAGGTGGGCCCAGCAGGGCTGGTGGGGGAGTAGCCAAAGAGGGAGGAGCTGTAGCTGGGCCGACGGCCCTCCCGCCGGTTGCCGTCGATGGCAGCCTGGAGCTCAGCTGGGGAGCTCAGAGCTTTCTTCTCACATTCATAGGCATACAAGTACTTCATGTACCTGGTAGGAAGATTCAGAGGAGCAAGTCACAAAGCTCAGTCCACGCCAACAATGTGGGTCCAGCCTCCCTCTGAAGCCTTCCTTGTCCCACCCCGCCCTACCAGGTGCAGGCTCCCTTCCCAAGGAAGCAGGCACTCACTGGGTGCGCAGGGTGAAGGCTGCGCTGGTGATGGACGTGGGGAGGTTGAGGCCCTTGGTGATCTCCCTCCAGATCTTCTTGTTGATGATTTCCACCAGCCCCCCCTTCTCAGTGACCAGTTTATAGAGCATGTAGAGGTCCAGGATCTGCTTGGCCATGATGGGGATCCGGTTGATGGGAGTCCCTAAAATTGCCCCCAAAGACAGCAAAGAGAGAAAACACAACATCAAAACCCTGAAAGTAGACTCCTGATAAATTAGGAATAAATATTAATTACTCTACCCACTCAGGATCCCCAATCCTGTCCGTCTGAAAGCCTCAGATCAGCCCAAGGGTCATTACACAAGAAGGTATTGGATTGTATACAGATTTTATTAAGCACCAGCTCTGTGCCATGACCTCAGGATACAAAAATAAAAAAGAAACACTACCTGTTCTCAAGGTGCTGATGTTCCAGTGGGTGGAATATACCATGTGCCCAGATACGTAAATACCAACTAATCTGAAGAGGAGGGTTTAGAAAACACTGACTGCTAGGGGGATCGTGCTAGAAAGCCCGCGAGACGAGGTCCCCAGTCACCCAGCTGATGTCTGGGGGCGGGGACTCAAACCCATGTCTTCCTGCTCCCAAGGTCAGCGGTCTATGGACTACACCAGCCTGCGCAGAGGAGGCAGCACCTGAACTACAAGAAGTGACGTGAGGAGGAATGCCCTCTGCACATGGAGGACAGCCGGCCTGTACAAAGGCAGAGAAAGGAGGGGGCACACAATGAGGAGGCCAGTTTGGTCAGGACGTGGAGGGGGAGTAATGTGAAATAAACCTGGAAAGGCAGGCTAGAGCTACATCGTGCCCAGATAAGGAGTTTTTATTTTGACCTGAAAGAATGAGAGAGCCCTGCTGACTTCTTAGCTGGGAATTGACATGGATGGATCAGTTAGGAAGACAATTGGGCAGCTGTCTGGAAAACTATACGGAAAGGGAAGACCAGAAACAGGGAGAACAATGAGGAAGTTATTACAATAATCCACCTGAGAGGTGATGACGACTTAACCAACATGGCAGCCGCAGTCAGATTTATCTCTGTGACCCTTCCCCTCCCGGGCCAGAGGGTACGAGATGATTGTCCGACTCCTTTTCAGCTTGGCAATTACACAGTCCTTGCCTACAAGATGAGTGACGGCTGATAAAGGAGACAATCCGGCTGCTTCTGGGCTGGAAGGGCCTACCTTGATAAGATACGCTGGTCTTGACAAGATGAACTGGACAGCTGCCAAATCTCCATTTGTCTTTCTGCTTTCTGGATAAAACCCTAAGATTCTGAGAAAGAAACAGGCCTAACAAGAATCCGGCCTCCCTATCTTTTTGTGAATAGAATCTGTTCTCCCAAAGTGGAGGGACAGGCAGGGAGCAGAGAGGAGGAGTCTTTTCCTTAGGGTAGCCTGACATGTTGGCGATGAAGCGGAGAAAAAAAGCAGCAATGCTGCTACCAGCCTAGACCTGCACACGTCACAGAGAACATCCTGCCCGGGCATGCGCTGCCCCAACAGCTGTGTAAGCGAAACATCTGAGAGGACACAGTTGGTGCCTCAGTTAAGATGGTGTGAGAGAAAGAAGCAATGGCCCAGCTTCTGGCTGCCCATCCCCCCTCCACTCACTTGCCCCTACAACGGCCTCCTCCTGAGTGACGTCCAAATTCCTTAAGCAGGCACTGAGGCCGAGGCCTCCAGTCTGTGGCTGCCTTACTTATCCACACTTCTCATGTGATCCTCCAACCGAGCTAGACTGGCTGCCCTCTCCCAGACATCTGTGGTCCTTCCCTGCCTCTGCCCTTGTTTATCAGGAATCTGGTGGGCTTCTTCAGCAGCCAACTCAAATGTGCCTTCCTCTGGGAAGCCCTGCCAGGCCCCGATGGCCAGCGAGAGCCTTTCCCAGGCCTCTCTCTGGGCTCTGCCTTCCCCTTCCTTCTCAGCCTGGCTGAGCAATAGGGACTACAGTAACCTGTGTCTCTGTCTTCTCCATAAATTCCTCATATCAGACTGTCTCATCGCACCATCTCACCTCACACAATAATCTGCCCCCAGTAGGTGCCTAATCTATGTCTGACAAAAAATGCCTTTCCCTCTCTGGCTACACTTTTCTCTGCAGCGAGTACCCTCCCAGCTTTACTGTTCTGTGATTCTAAGTAACAATTTGAAAGGTCTGCAGAAACTCAATCCACGCGGGGACCTGGTTTTCCCAGCCACTGCCTGGGTTTCAGAATAGGAAACAAAGGACTACCTTGTCCTGTTCTCCCCCTGCCCTTTCTCATGCCAGTTCTGCTGCAGCTCTGCTCCCAGATACCTCTGGCATTTCTGTTGAGACCATGGCACGTTAAAGAAGCTGCTTGACCGACAGGTCTTGATAGGCCAGAGAAGTAGCTAAAGAGGTCCCTCTTCCTAATCTCTCCATCCCCTTCGGGCCCCTGGATGAGAGAAGGGCTGGACAAGTTTCCGCCAGCTGGCCATGACGGGAAGAGAGAGGAGCCAGGGACTTTATTAGGAAACCTGGCACCAGGCAGGAAGGGCTGCTAATGAGCACCAGGGGACAGGGCAGGGAGGAGGGGGGCAGGGGCCTGGACCCAGTGGATCCTTTCACAGCCGGCTGTGATGCCTGTCAGAGTGCATGATGGATTACTGTCATCTGGCAGCCTCAGGATTAATGATCCAGAGGTCAGAGGGGAGAATTCCAGAGGGAAGGGTCACCGTCCAGGTCAGGGTATAAGACTTGTTGCCTTTTGATGGCAAATCCATTTTACTGTACACAAGCTAGCCTCTCCTCCATCTTTTTCCCCACCCCCAAATTTTGCTGAGATCTCTTATTCAGCTGCCCTGTCGGCTGGAAGCCTTGTTCTGATCAGATAAGGGTAATGTGTGTCAACTCTACGTTTCCTCCCCCGACCCCGCAGCATTTTAAGAGAATGGTTTTTCCTTCTATGTCCTGGAATCTCAGCCCCACTAACTCTAGCTGGTGGTGGTTGTGTTTTTTTGTTTTTTTTTTTTTAAAACGGGTTAATCCAAGTCAGATGGGGGTCTCAGACATTTGAAGGAAAAAAAAGGGACAGTAAAAGAACTCTGGTCTTCGGCTGAGAGAGACGAGACTTTAATCCACACATGCTAGAGCTCCAGACCAAGAGATGTTTCTTTGTTCTTTTTGGAAGGTCAAAACTAAAACAGAAAATGATTTTGATTGGGAAGTCCACATGCAAGACACTGAGAAAATGGGCCTTCTTCTCAGTGTCCTCAACTGAGTATCCGCCATCCACCTCTGAAGCGATACCTGGCGTCTTCCTCCCTGCCTCTCCTTCCCTCATCAGCTGAAAGTGACACGTCCATCCCTCCTCAAACCCAGGGCTCTCCGTCCCCATCACATTCCACCTCGCACCAGATCTACCAGTGTACGTGCCATGGGACGGTGGTTTTCATCTGTGCGGCCCCCACTCTGAGGAGAGGGCCTTCCATAAAGTAAGTACTGAATGAATGTTTGGTGAAGCTCAAGTACCTTCAGTAACTTCTACAGCTCCATCTCTGCCTCCCTTTCTACATAAGCCGACAAAACCAGAAGGATAACGCAGCTGAACCCGACTGGGGGCCGACGGCCCAAAGTCTCTCCTACTGGGCTGACTGCTGTTCATGAAGGCTTTTTGCTCATTCAGTGGCTGCCATCACCCACAAGTTGGGAGCTGCCTGAGGACAGTCTGTACTTGATCAGCATTTGCTGAATGATGAATGTGGAGGAAGGGGTTTTCCATTCTGGCACAAACTCAATTCAGTGAGGCTATTCCATTCCACAATTTCACTGAGCAGCTCTAGAAGGACCTTTCAAACCTTTGTCTCCAGCACCCATGTCTCCAGCTGCAGGTACCACGTTTCCAATGGTGTGACTCCAGGTGGCATTCCGCACCCCCCCCATCCCAGCCAGGTAGCCCCCCAGTTCCAACTTTTCCATCTGCAGTGGGAGAAGCATGATTCTTCCCATCTCCTAGTCTAGGAAATTCAGCCACTATTTCTCCCTCTCCTTCTTCCCTAAATACAACCAGTTTCCAAGTCTTTGTGATTTTTGCTTGGAAGCGTCTTCCCTATACTTCTTCCTCTCTATTCCCCAGCCCCAGCATGCATACCGAGGACGTGGGTTACTTTAACAGTTTCTCCTTTATGTCCTCACCCCGAATGCTGCACCACTGCCCTTGATGCATATTGCATCAAATCTAAATACTAATAATAATGATAATCACGACAGCGAACATGTATGCAGCTCTTACCATGTGCCAGGCACTGTGCTAATTCCTCATTCGACCCCCACAACAACGCTGGGAGGTAGGTGCTGTTATCCCCATTTTTCAGATGAAGAAACTGTGCTAAATGACCTGCCCAGGGCCACATAATCAAGGTGTCCGAGTCTGCATCTGAACTCAGGTCCCTCTACTCCAGGCTCAGCGCTCTCTCCATTGCTGCCCCCAATGCCCACACCTGGCTTTCCAATCTTCCCGGAACCTCGCCCCATTCTACCTACACAACGCTACCTTTACCCCTTTCCAACTTGTACCTTGTGGATGTCCCATGAGCACCTCGCACTCAAAATGCCCCAAAGAGAACTCATTCTCCTCCCGCCAAGCCTTTCCCTCCTCCTCCTGAGGACACCACAATCCTCCCAGTCACCCTGGTGGCCCTCTTGACTCCTCCCTCCCTCACACATCGAATGTCCTCCAGTCTCCTTTGTCATTTCTCAGATAGCCCCTTTCTCTCCACTCACAGCCAGCACCCTGGTACCAGTCCTCGACCATGGTAATAACCAGCTGGTTTGTCTCTCTGGCCCCTCCAAATAGCTACCAAAGGGATCCTCCGAAAGCACAAGCCTGACCATGTCACTCCCCCCCTCCTCAGTAAACTCTTGTGTCTCCCTATCACCTCCAGGAGCAAATACGAACTGGCCCCTTGGTGTTCACAGTCTTTCATCCCCTAGCCCCCTCCTCCCTTTCCAGTCTTCTTACACCTGCCTCTACTCAGCCTTGTACTTTATGATCTGGCCTCCTGGCTGCTCTCCCTGGAGATCCTCCCTCCCCTGACAATCTTTGCACTGGCTGAGCCCCATGCCCAGAATGCCATCCCATATCCCCCTGGCCTCTCAAGACTCAGTTCAAATCCCAT